CAGCTGCCAGCTCAAACCACCTGCAGGCACCAGTGCTCAACCTAACAGCCAGCCAGGAAGTGGCCTTGTTCCCAATGAAATGATGTCATACCACAGCCACAAACACCCACCGTGTAGACCACTGACACAACCACAAACATCACCGAGAAAGATTATAGGCGAAAGAAACTGCAAATATTACAACACCATACCCATCCAGAATGAACTCCAACAAACCATGGCCAATGTACACACCCGAGCACTCATCCACATGGATAAGTCCCTCCTCACAGAAAAATATATCCAAAAAGATGGTTATGGTACTGGATTGTAAATAGGAACACAAGAAACATGAAAAAGCAAGGAAACATGACAGTTCCAAGGGAGCACAATGATTCTCCAGGAGCAGACCCTGAATAAAAGGAAATGTATAAAATGCCTGAAAAGGAATCCGAATACTGAGCTTAAAACATATAGACAAGCTACAAAAGCATATAGACAAGCAAGTCAATGAAATCAGGAAAATAATCTGTAATAAGGATGCAAAGTTCAACAAAGAGATAGATGTCATTTTTTAAAAATGAAAACAGGAATTTTGTGGCTGCACAATTCAATGAAGGAAAGAAAAATACAGTTGAGAGCCACAGCAACAGACTTGGTCAAAGAAAAGAAAGAATTTTTCAACTTAAAAACTTTAAATTAATTCAGTCAGAGAGAAAAAAAAGGAAAAAATAAAAAAGAATTAAGAAATTCTATGAAACCCATGGAGTATCATTAAGAAATATATATTTGAAGTATGAGGGTTCCAAAAAGAGAAGAAAGGCATAGAGATATATTTAATAAAATAAGAGCTGAAAATCTCCCAGGTCTTGGGAGAGATAGAGATATCCATATACATGAAATTCAAAGAATTCCAATGAGATTCAAGCTGCTGGTCCTTTCCCAGACCAAAAAAAAAAAAAAGAGAGAGAGAGAGAGAGACAAAGGCAACACTTCCCTCCTGGGTTCAATCTACAACACTGAGAGATGAAAAAAGATAAGAAAAAAGTTTAAAAGCAACAAGAAAATCACAAGTGACATATATAATAGATTTATTAACAGAAACCTTGCAGGCCAGAAGACAATGGGTTGATATACTCCAAATGGTAAAAGAACATGAAAATGTTATCTAAAGTTGTCCTCCAGAAATGTCAGAAGAATAAAATATTGCTCAATCTGGAAAAACTGAGGAAATTCATGGTGACTAGACCAACCTTACAAGAAATTTTTAAGGGGCCCCCACATCTGGAAGCAAATGCATAAAAATTACCATTACGAAAATACCTGAAAATACAGGATACCCAGGTAGAGTAGATACTGAAATGAGAAAAATAATTAAATGAAAAACACCTCATGAAGATTCACAATAATGGGGAAAGAAAAAAATAAAAGATACTAAAATTAATCAGAAAACCACACAACTACAGGAGTGCTTATTTATCAATAATGACTTTGATTATAAACATTTAATTCCTCAATTAAAAGATATCAGTAGACTGGCTAAATGTTTAAAAAATAATAATATGTTAATATATGCTATGTATAAGAAATTTATCTCACAACACACATGGACTGAAAGTGAAACAATATTTTTGAAATTATATTTCATGCAAAAGAAAACCAAAATGAACAGTAATACTTACATAAGGCCAAATAGACTTTAATATAAAAACCATAAAGAAAAGGCCTATTATAAAGAAGTTCATTATATCATAATGAAAGGATCAAATTAGCAAAAGGATATAACAGTTATACATATATATATATATATACATATATCTTCAATACCACACCACCAATATATCAAGCAAGTATTATTAAATCTATGCGGAGAGGCAGAATTGGATGAAATGATACCTGGGGACTTTATCACACCATGCTTCTCAAAGGACATAATTCAGACCAAAAAACCAACAAGGAAAACATTAGAGTTAAATTATACTATAGATCAAGTGGGCTGAGCATTTACACAACACTCCATCCAACAGCTGCAGAATGCCCGTTCCTGTCAGCAGCACAGGCAACATTCTCTAGCATAGATTATATGTTAAGCCATAAAACAAGTCTCAACAAATTCAAAAAAAACCTGAACTCAGGTCTTATATCTGTTATGATCACAATGGAATAAAAATAGCAGCCAAAAACAAAAGAAATTTTAGAAATTATACAAATATATGAAGGCTGAACAACAATTTTGAACAAACAGTGGGCAATCAAGGAAGACAAATGAGAATTAATAACTTTCTCAAAGTAATTGAAAATTCAAACATACATACAAAAAATTATGGGGTACAGAAAGAGCAGTACTGAGAGGGAAGCTGATAGTAAGGATAGCTTTCATCAAAAGACTCGAAAGATTTAAAACAAAAAACCTAATAGCGCACCTCAGCAACTTAGGAAAAGTAAAAACAAAATAAACCCAAAATTAGTAAAAGTAATGAAATAATAAAAGCAAAACAAATCCAGGTGTGGAAGTGCATGCCTGTAATCCCACTACTTGGGAAGCTGAAGCAAGAGTAACACAAGTTCAAGACCAGTTTAGAATCCACACCTAGAGCCTATCTCAAAAGTCAATGAAAAAAAATCAAAACAAAATAAAAAAGGGGAGGGAAAAGAAAGGAGTAGCTCAGTGGCACTGCGCCTGCCTGGTAAGGGTGAGGTCCTGAGTTCGATTCCCTGTACCAAAAAAAAAAAAAGAAAGAAAGAAAGAAAACTTTGAAAGAAATAGACACGAAAATACAATACAACTGATCAATAAACAAAGAACTAGTTGTTTGGAAAGAAAAATAAAATCAAACATTTAAGTAACCATGGGGCAGGGGACAAGACCTCAACAAACAAAAGTAGAGCTGTAAAAGGAGATAATACAACTAATACAGGAAAAAAAATTAGACATTATTATTTTTAAAAAAAATTGTCTGAGCATGGTGGCACACACCTGTAATCCCAGCCTTTGGGAGGCTGAGGCAGGAGACTCTCAATGAGTTCAAGGCCATCCTGGCCGCCTGGACTACATAGAGAGTTCAGGGCAAGCCTAAAGTACAAAGTGAGACCTTGTTTAAAAAAAAAAAAAAGGAACTGTACGCTAACAAATTGGAAAACATAGAAGAGAAAGATAAATTTCTGGAAACATAGAAACAAGTAGATATAAAATTCTCCAGAACAGACCAATGCAAGTAATGAGACTGAAACATTCATGCAATTTCTGCCAACAAAGAAAGGCCAGGACATGATGGTTTCATTGCTGCAGTGTACCAAAGAGTTGAAAAACTAATAGCAATCTTACTCAAACTATTCCACAAAATTGAAAGGAAAGGAATCCTCAAGGCATCCTATGGAACCACCATTACCTTGTTATAAAAACCATGTGGATACACAACAACAACAGCAAACACCATAGACCACTAGACCTGATGAACACAGATGCACAAATTCTCCATGAGATGCTCACAAACTGAATTTCAACGGCACACTGAAAAGATGATTCACTGCGGCCCAGCTGATTTCCTCCCAGAGATGTAAAGATGACTTGCTTATGCAAATCACTAAATACAATACATTGAATCAACAGGATGAAGGACAAAATTCAAAGGATGCTCTCAATAGATGCACAGAACACATTTCCTAAAATTCAACCCAACTTCATAGTAAAAAGCCTAATCAAATTAAATATAAAAGATCATACCTAAACATTTTATAATAAAGCCTATACACAGCAAACCCACAACCCTCATCATAATAAATGCAATGGAGCTGATAGCATTTCCTCTAAAATCAGGAAAAGACAAGGGTGCCCGATTTCACCACTTTTTCAATATAATACCACAGGGTTTAGATGGAGCAATCAGCCAAGGAAAGAAAACAAAAAAGGCATACAAATAAGAATGAAAAAAAGACAAATGACCCTATTTTAAGATGAGACAATTTTATACCTAAGAAAACATAAGATGCTTCAGAAGACTATTAGAGATGATAAACCAGTTCAGCAAATAGCAGGGCACAAAATCAAGATACATGTTTAGCCATAAACAATTAAATGCTGTCATTTTCAGGAAAATAAATGGATTTGGGGATCATCATGCTGAGTGAAATAAGCCAGGCTCAGACAGACAAAGATTCTGGGGGCTGGGGATTTAGCTCAGCGGTACAACTCCCGTCTGGCAAGCGCGAGGTCGTGAGTTTGATTCCCGGTACAGAAAAAAACAACAACAACAACAAAAAAAAAGATTCTGTGTTCTCCCTAACAAGTAAATTCTAAACAACAACAACAACAAAAAAAAAAACCAACTAGGAAGCAGCAGGGGGACCATTAACAGAGAAGAAGGAGGTAATAAGAGGAAGCGAAGGGTGTGAGATAGGTAATGGCGATGGATGTGATCAAAAGATATTACATCAACTGCAATCAGAAGAGAAAGGGGACAGGAAGGACACAGCACAGGCAGGGCAGCCTCTCCCACCTGTGCCAGCCTCACACCGAGAGAAGCGTTAAGGGAAAAAATTCTCACTGCACAAGCAAAGCGGTTGCATTTGGCCTCAGTCACCAGCTGCTCCAGTTAGGGTGGAGGGGGAAGCGGGCTGAGATAGGAGGCAGCCCCAAGAGGTGCCTGCTACTATCACGTTATATAGACAAGCAAAAAAGGTACACACAAGATCAAAACTCAAAGCCTTTCCACCCCACACCCCCAAAAAAACCTCAACAGCCACAGCCTCAGCAGCTGTTTAACGCTCCGCGCCACCTAGTGGTAAAATATAGACATTCTCCAGCATCAATGGGTTTGTTCCGTTTTTTCGGTTTCCCTTGTTTTCTTTGAGGTTCGGAGGACCCATTAAAAGGTTTATGAAGAGAAAATTTGCCCAGTTTTGTGAAGCTTAAATTTAAATTCCGGAGCCTTATGTCAAACATCACCTGCAGTGACAGCTGCTAATCTGTTGGGATCCTTATCTTAAACCTTACTTCTAAGAGTAGGCAACCTCAGAGATACCTTTAAGTAAACCGCTGTACACTGACGCGGGAGCTTTGTAGGGGAGACGGTTGGAAATGCCTCTGGTGACCGCCCCCATGTTTCGTCTCAGAGTTATCCTCAGCTTTGAATGCGCTTTCCACACAGCATGTGAAATCGAAATAATCCTAATTCTTACAGCCTTCCGGGCGTCACTCTTAAATCTCCAACTGGAAGTATCCGTAGGAAATACAACCAAAGAATTCCTTTGAGTGAAGTAAATGCCATTATCCTAAAGCCACGATTGGATAATCTCTACCTTCCTCATTACAATGTTGAATTAAATGTGTTAATAACTGTGATAAATTCACTTTCATATAAAAGTTATACACAAGCAACTATTACTTTGTAAATTAAATATTGATTTTTATCTACAAACATTTTGGATATGTTTGCTTTCTTTTTTTTTTTTTTTTTGGTCTTTTTAAGACGGTCTCGCTATGTAGTTCAGGGTAGTCTTGAGCTCACTTTGTAGCTCAGGCTGTTCCCAAACTCACCACGATCCTCCTGCCTCAGCCTCCCGAGAGCTGGGATTACAGGTGTGCGCCAATGTTTGTGTTCGCTGGTAGCTATTACTTCTATGAAATGCAGTCTTCTTGGACTGAATTGTCTCTCTATATCCCATTTTATTCACTATAAATTATATTCTATGTTGGTTTTTACTGTTATTCATATTAATTTACAATTGTACATAAAGCAAGAATGCTTTGTTAACTCACTCATGCATTTCTAATTAGATATTGTCTGATTATTTTTGTCCTGAATAGGATTATAAAATTGCTAATTTAGTTCTCCCACACACTTCACAAACTATATGTTTACACTAACTATGCAGGTTGTGGACTGAGAAAAGAGCACAGAATAAAATTAAGTATTCTCCGCCAGATGGGGTGGCACACCCCTGTAATCCCAGCACCTGGAAGGCTGCGGCAAAAGGGTCCCCATTAGTTCAAGTACACGCTGGGATACATAGTGAGATCAAGCCCAGCCTGAACTACACAGTGAGACCCTGTCTCAAAACACAAACAAAAAACTTAAAAAGCCTCTTTTATATAAACTATTTCAGCATCTTCAAATAAATACAGTTCGGCTTATTGCTTTTGGTTCTTCGTGGATTTAATTTCTTTCTTATGACTTAGTAGTTCTTAATTAACAAAATCATTGCCAAGAAAAATAGAAGTGGTGAACACACATTTTTGCCTTGTTCCCACTTTAGAAAAACAAGCAAAATCATCATCATTTAGAATGAAGTTAGCTATAACTTTCCTTGTTGCCCTTAATCAAGTCAAGGATGTTCCTACTATTCATCATTTACTGGAAGTTTTTGTCATGAGCATATGTGGGAAGCTTCAAATCTCATATTTGCATCACTGCAAAATAAATACTGTGTGAAGGAAATCAGATGAAAACCAAGAATTGGACAGAACTCTTCCCCCAAACTCTCTCTCTCTCTCTCTCTCTCTCTCTCTCTCTCTCTCACACACACACACACACACACACACAACCTCTTGCTTGCATTCTGACTGTTGTATTAAATTTATAGATCAATTTCCTATGAATATAGATTTCTATTTCGAGTCTTCCAAATGATGACCAAAGCATGTCTTCCCACTTATTAGGTGGCTTAATCATTTTTCAATTATTTTTAACTTCAAGATTCTATGAATGTTCTGTTAGAATTCTATTCGTTTTTTGTTTGAAGAAATATTTAAAATGACATTGAATTTAAATATGGGGTTCCAATTTTATGTTGCCACTAGTAGAAAAATATTTATCTTTTGCATCTGTTTTATACCCTGCAACACTGCTCAATCCACTCCTCAGTTACAGTACCTTGTGCTGTTGCTTTTCCCCAAGTACACTGGGATCATCTACATGGACAGTCACACAGGCTGCCATAGTGACTTTTATTTTTCCATTTTTCTTACCTTCACTCACTGGCAAAGACTTACATATTGACATGAATGGTGAAAATGAACATTCAGTCTTTTGTCACTAAATGAAAGTCACAGGATGATTGTAGATATCCTTTACTAGGCCAGGGGCATCAATTCTATTCCTAAAATACCAACAGCTTTTACATACTATCAAATACTTTTGTGGATCAATTAATACGACTGTGGTTTTCACTAGACTATTAATCTAGTGAATTATAGTAATTGGTGATCTCATAGTGAACCAGCCTGACATTCTTGGAAGTAACCCAGGAATTAGCTAGGGCTCATCACAAAAACAGAACCAATAGGATATGTAGATAATTTGAGGGAGAGGCATCATAAAAATGACCCACAAAATAATGGTGGTCAAAGCATCCCATGATTGTGCATCTGAACCCTGGAGAACCAGATATAACTCAGTCTGAACCCACAGGCCTGGGAGCTTCGGGGACTTTCACTCCAGGCCAAAGGATTGAGGAAGGGTACATGCTGGTATGAGTTCATGGATAGGATGAGCCAGGAACGTGCAGTTCTGACTTCCATGAACAAGGGGACATGGCTTTCCCTGGTCTAGAAGAAAGAGGAAATTAGCCCTTATTTTTGATGAGTCAGTCAACATTTGGAAGATACCCACCTTACAAAGTAGACTCCAGGCTGTTGTGACTTCACCAAGGGTTCCATCAAATATTTAAGGATGAAGTCATACCAATTTTATGGAAAGACTTTCTGACAATATGGGGGAGAATGTTGTACAGACAAACATCGTATTAGGCCAGGAAAACACTGATTCCAAAAAATCATGCTTGGACATTTCAATGTTTGAAAATTACACATTAACATCTCTCTCTCATGAGAGACTCAAAATGCACTGCAAAATATTACTAAGGTAAATACAATGGTATATAAAAAGCATAATATATCATCACTAGCAGGGTTATGTCTCGTAAGTGTACCTTTAACAGTAGAATGTTAAATAGTGCAAGTAATTATGTCAACAAAATTGAAGTAAAATTTCATCAACATTTTAAGGCAGAAAGAGCATTTCCCAACATTCAACACCCATTCATTTTCAAGTCCTAAGCAAATTAGGAATAGAAAGAAAACATGTCAGTCTTATAAAGGGTATCTAGACACCCTCCAGGTGACATCCTACCTAGCAGGGAAAGGCCGGCCACCACCACTAAACACTAGGGAAAACACAGGACACCAGCTCTCACCACTTCTGTTCGGGATGGCAGAGCCAGAGGGAAAGAAAACAAAATGTACATGGATTTAAAAGGAAGAAGTAAGGCTCTCCTCAATTGCAGATGGCACGGTGATATATTCTGGTAATCCTGAGGAGTCCGCCAGCAAAATGTCAAGGTTATTCAGTGAATGCAACAAGTTGCTGGAAGTACACATTACCTCAGAGACACAGGGTGGAATGAAGAAAAAGGGGAATCTGCCCTTTCAAAGAGAGCAAAAAAAGGTGAGAATGTGTGGTGAGAGCATTCCAGGGAAGGAGGAAGGGAAGGGATATCGTCTACACGATGCCCGAGGAAATACTCCAAGCTCCAAGACAGGATGTCGTAGAGATCCAGTCTGCCTAGAGTGTGGTGTTAGAGATGTTCAGGGAGACACAGAGAAGAGAATAAAACCTGACTACAAATTTTCAGGGTCATTAAGTAATACAAACTGAGTAAGGACTAAATGCTTCATGAAGTGGAAGACTGAGTGAGCTGTTAGGCATGGCAATATTTTGGTTGCTGTGGAGAAAGCTGTTGATACCGCCATGAAAATTGTTTTCACACAGACTGCTGAAGAAAAGTGCATCCTACAGTGGGCACAGTGGACTCAGAGGCAGATCTCCCACCGGAACCCACCCTTGACTTGATGGTGTGAGGTCCTAAACATTTGCACACTGGAACACCTAAACACACACCTAAACATTTCCACAACTGGAACCTCTCCAGACCCTGCAGGCAGCCTGTACGCCCGGGCACAGGAGAGAATGACCCTGCCAGCCAATTTGAAAGAAGCCAGCAGGGTGAGTAATTTAGGGCCACTCTTACTACCCAGGATTTCCATTGCTACCATATACCACCAAGAGTGACAGGCAATAAAGTAAACAAGTGAAACAGCCACAGGCATTCTGGGTGAATAGTTTCCTTGAGTGGATCAATATGGGTGCAAGCAACCAAAAGGGCAAAGGAGGTATCCGGAAGCCAAAAAGGCAGAGGTCCCCACTGGGTCCCCGGTTCATCCCCTTCTTTCTCCTGTGTTGGAAAAGAGCATGTGCACAGTGCTCTGAAGTCAAGATAACCACAGCTGAGGCAGCCAAGGACGTGGGTTGTTAACACCTCCTATTCCAGAGCAATAACCTTAGAGATAGAACAGTGCTCTTAATTTGCAAAGTTTACTACCTGGAGACCTCTTTGAATTGACTCTTAAGGTTATGCTCAGTTCCCACACTTGCCTCAGGATAGCCTTCCTTTGTTTGAAAACCAGATAAATACAAAACACCCCAGGAAGTTCTTTGTTTCAACTCCCAGGGAATCTTGAATTCCATTAGAGGGGTTTGACCTTCCTGGATCCCTAATATCATACAACTTACATCTTTTATTTAAGTCCTGTGCTGTCCACTCAATTTGGAGATTGAGGCTAGGCTGAGAACCTGAAACTTGATAAACAAAAAAAGTTTCAAAATCAACCAGAAATGAATGAAAGAAAAGTGCTCTGTAGCACCTGTGGGAGAACATTTCAACCAGGTAGCAAGAGCCTTCAAAATTCTCATCTAAATTTTTCTATGAAGAAAAGGAGCAGAAACACCTTTCACCTGGAATTCTGGCTGCAGGAAGGGCTGGCCCCAGAGGTGCTCGGGTTCTCTCCCAGGAAACATCCTTTGGGCTTAGACACTGAGATCCCAGGCTACATTGTTCTTACTTACTGCTTTGAGGATATTCTCTCAGACTGGAAGTTAAGGACATCTGCAGCCCCTACTGACTTCAAAAGAAGTTCAGAAGCTGGAGAAATACTGACAGAAAATAATCTAAGGAAAATGAACTTTACCACAATCTACCTGCTTGCCCAGGAGGAGACAATTTGATATTTCAGATTTAAATTCTCTTCCACCTGTCAGAAGTAGGACCATCACTCTGTTAGGCATCTGGGTGAGCAACACCTGGAGCCTAAGATTTCATAGCCACTGCCTTTTCCATGCAAGAAAGCTTTACCTGGAGGCCCAGGGACAGGTGAGGGGGAGGCAGATAGGAAGGGTCAGTAGTCCCCTTGGCTGCCGTACCTGGGATCCAGGACAGGACACCCAGGCTCCATCACCCCAAGGCAATGAGTGGGCAATTTCCCTATTCAGCTTGCTGATGGCACAGGACAAACTCCCTAAGTCAGGAGAGGCAAGGCAAGTTCAGTGCAACTGCCTTCCTGGACCTGAGCTCTCCTGTACTCAAATCAGGATGAAGAAGCAAAAAGCCAATTCCCATTTAACCAATGCAGGGAAATGGCCCAACTAAATAGAAGGGCAAATGGAGATCTGAACTGAGACCTTCAAAATCAGGTCTGGTGGGCATGACATGACACTATGGAACCACAAAAGTACAACTGTTCTGACTCACTGCAGGGGGCCAAGTCCTTGCTCAGCCTCCCTAATGCCCCAGGACACCCTTTGCAAGGTCTTGTCCTTCTCAAACAGGACCCAAGTACTTTCAGTGGCTTAGTTTTGTAATCACAGAGTTCTGGGATGCTGAAGCAGGAGGACTACAAGTTTGAGCTCAACCTGGGCAACTTAGCCAGGATGTGTCCCAAAAAGAGTTGGAGATGCAGCTCAGTGTAAAGGCCCTTGGTTCACCCCCTTGTATTAGAAGGAAGGAAGGATAGAAGGAAAGAAGGAAGAAGGAAGGAAGGAAGAAGGAAGGAAGGAAGGAAGGAAGGAAGGAAGGAAGGAAGGAAGGAGGGAGGGAAGGAAGGAAAGAAGGAAGGAAGGAAGGAAGGAGGGAGGGAAGGAAGGAAAGAAGGAAGGAAGGAAGATGAAAGGGAAAGAGAGGAGAGAAAGAAAGAAAGAAAGAAAAAGAAAGAAAGAAAAGGAAAGGAAAGGAAAAGAAAAGAAAAGAAAAGAAAAGAAAAGAAAAGAAAAGAAAAGAAAAGAAAAGAAAGGAAAGAAAGAAAAGAAAAGAAACAAAGTTGCTGTAATACTATTATGATAATTTTAAAACACATTTGGACTTAGGAAACAGTACCCATGTTACTAAAGATTCAACATAATGTCAAGAGGTTGTTTTACAGAAAGTCTACATTTTAAGAATTCAATAATGAGGTGGACAGTTTTGAATCAGGCAAATGAATGTAGGGGTTTTGCAGTTTGTGCTTCTATATACTTTTAAATGCTATTGAAACTCCGCATTTGAAGAAGCATATGACAAGAGTACAGATCCCTCCTAGGATTATAGCTACAGAATGCGTCAACACATGTTTCAGAAGACCCACAGATTAATGTGAATGTGAGAACACCATTCATAATTCTGCTTCCAAACGACTGCAGAATACTGCAAATTTCAAGTGGTTTTTACTCAGTGATTTTAGGGAGCCTAGCAGTTACTACATCAACCAAGGCGAGGACTGTAGGGAACTCCTCTTCATGATACACCCCAGGCAGAATCATTCCCAAAGAGTAAATGTGGGCAATTCCAAAACACACCTGACCCTTGGGTAATAGAGCAGGGCCACAGCGGAGTTGACAGGAAGGGGCTTTTCCAGGGTGAGGCTGAAACTTGGCAAGTGAGAACAACTGAGGAGAGGAGAGAGACCTGAGCAGGAGCATTCCCCACACGTCTATGGAGAAGAGAAGAATAAAACGACTGGTAAAGTTTGAAGGTCTTAGCACAGCAAGATGAAAACCCAGATTCCAAATATATAACATGCTCATCCCCAAATGCAAAGCAGTATTTTCAAATATACAAGAGAGATCACTTGGGGAAAGTACTTTCTTATCCTGTAAGGTAGCCCTGTGTAAAAGCAGTGGACAAGAAGGATTAAGTTTGAAAACTTCAGAGCAGCCTGATTTCCTCATGGGAATCTCTCAACAATGAATTTCACAAAAAAAAAAAAATAGGGCTTGGGAGCACTCAAGTTTAAACACAGAGTGAACATGAATATACTCACCTTTGATGTCACTCAGTAATCAATGTATGGACAAGATGGGAAAAATGTACTTGGAATATATTTGAATGGGTGAAATGACACTCTAGTGGCAGATATAGTGAGTAGAAATGAAGATAATGAATAACGTCACTGACCATCAACCTTTGAGTTTGAAAAATATCATGTCAAATTCATAAGCCACATATTAGATATTTTCCAGGTAAAGGAAACTAAAATTGTCAAAGATATTTTACACTAATGTTAAAAATGAGCTAAACAATATTTCCTAAATGCCAAACAGAACACACACAAATAACAAAAAGACAGAACTACAAGTAATATAATCTATCACATATAATAAATGCAATTTAAAAGATATGGAAGAATGTAGACTCCAAGTAGTAAAATGACAGAGTTTATATTGATTTTTACCCTTATTCATCAAATTGATAGTAGTAATAAAATGTTATAACATTGAATATAAAAACATCCATGAGTCCATACTGAAAAACAAAAATGTTTTAATTATTGATGTGAATATCAGCTTTGGATTAAAATTAAAACTCAAGGAGACGGTGGGGTTTTTTATCAGAATGCCAGAAAACTGATAAACAGGAAACACTGAATTACCCAATGGCCAGGATATGTCCAGGTATAACAATTTATGCAGGTAGCGACGATATAAGCTGGCAACGTTTTTAAAGAAAAACCACTGGAAAATAAGATGTTTTTCACTTTCTCAAAATAGCTGCCTAGAAACCGCTTCAGAATTATTGAGGGCACAATGTGTCTACCCCCTGGACAGCTCCAGAGGATGCCTCCTTTGCCAGGTGACCAGAGCCAACAGGAAGTAAAGGGCGATATACAAAGTGGACACTGCCTGCAGGCAGAAAGTGGCAGGAAGTGTGGGGTACTATGTGTGCTTGCTGCCTGGTGTTTTTGGCTATATGTTTAGGCTGAGTTTAATCCCGAAGAAATAGTCACACAGCAGCCAAATATAGGCCAGGAGTCAGACAACAACTGACCTGTCCTCTACACACAAGTCAATTTCACCTACAAATGTGAGGACAAAAAGGAGAGGAGAGGTTTGCGTTTCAAAAGCACTAACATACCTTTTCTCCCTGAAAATAAGACCTGGCCAGAAAATAATCAGCCTTGAAAACTAGAGATCAAAACTGCCAGCCCAATCAGCTTATCCTTGCCTTCCGGAGCAGCCATGGAGCAAGAGAATAGTGAAGGCAGCGAAGGCAAGGATAAGCTGATTGGGGCTGGCATTTGTGATCTCTAGTTCCCAAGGCTGACTCCTTCCTGGCTAGATTTTATTTTTGAGTAAATAAGATATACAGGGGTATCTCGGTTCATGAACTTAATTCTTTCCACGATTATGGCTGCAAACTGAATTGGACAAGAACCAAATCAAATTCAGCAGTCAGGTTCAATGTTAACCTTATAAGGAAATTTGATTTGGTCCTCATCCAATTCAGCTGGTGACCAGAATCAGAGAGAGAATTAAGTTCATGAACCCAGGTACCACTGTACATATATATGTGATGGATGTTTTTCAAAAGCAAGTGTCTCCTCTTCATTTTGTCCTGTACTTGTGGTGACATGGACTGAGGAAAAGCTGTCAGCTCTCCTGGTCATAGGTCTACACTATTCATCTGTCTGACAGTTTCCTTGTGTTACACCCAGGCTGAGCACCTCAGGAAAACACTGCATAGCTACAACTGCCCGCTCATAACGCATCACAGTGGGAAGCAGTGCCCACCTGGCCTTGCTGTCTTCATCCAGCTGCTGTTGCCTTTGGTCTTATGCAGAGTGGGAATTAAGTGGACCAGAAATAAGGTCTCTCTGTTGGCTCTGTAAATTTAGGTCTTAATCTTCACAGGTATTTCACAAAATCAGAGGCAAGGAATTGGAATTTATCCAATACAACTGGGCTGTTGGAGTGAAAACCATCAAGAGAAATTAGGGGCTTTGAAATTCAGTGATCACAAGGAATCACTCCAGTGTTCTCTTCAGACTTTAAATTGAGTTTCTGTTTTCTATTTTTTTTGATGAAGTGGAAAAACTAGGCTTCATGTTTCAGTTCTCTTCTTCAGCAATGTCTTTTCTTCCTTTCAGCCATTCTCAGTATCTGAGAGAGGGAGAGAGAAAGCAAGCAAGAGTCTTGGTCAGGTCCTGATGATAGTTGCTCCTGGATGTTCCGCTCAGTGGTGACAGGAGTCAGGACCCAGCAGGTCCCCTGGGGGAAAAGAGCTACAGGGTTGAGCTTTAACCTGGTGGAAGAGGAAGTCACATCCACGGGGTACAAGAGACCCTCTGGAACATGCAGTCCACCCTGCGAAGGAGGACATAGGGTCCCTGGCCTGCCCCACCGAGAGGTTGCTGACACCAGCCACTTTCCTCCTGATCATCTGCAGCAAGAACACAGGGAAGGCTTTTCCTACATCCTGTGAAGGATGTGCTTTGCATTCATGTTACACATTCAGAAACAGACTGCTGCTGGAAGGAACAGACCCTTGCACGGAAACACCCTGTCTTTCACTCATATTCCAGAACAAGGGAAAAGTGGCTGGGCACTGGGAAAAGCCCAGTGTGGAGGAGAAGCAGGAATCTCAGACAGCATCAACTTTCAGCCTCAGGTGTACTGAAGAGGAAACAGTGATGCCACAGCATGTAGGGTGAAGGGGAGCTTTAACTAAAGTCACAGGACCTGTCTCAATAACCCTGAATCTAGAGCCACGGCCTCAGGCCATTTCCACGAGCACTGTGGAAGGGAGGCTACCATCTTGTTCCATGAACTTTGGTCACCTTGGATAGATAGAGTAAGAATTTCTGAGGAATCTGAGAAGTGTCATTCCAAGGTACATCATGAGAGAAGAGAGAGGGGAATCCCTCAGAGTGGAACGAGCTGTGAGAGAGCAGTGGGAACAACCGCAGTCCAACACTTTTGCTCATGGTCTTTGAAAGTGATTCCACACCCAGTCACACAGGAGAGCATTTCTATAGATATATTCTCAATATCTACACCAGAAAGCCTCTAACACGAAAATAAATTACATTATGTTTGACTATACTCTGCCCAGTCAGTAATTTTCTTTGCTCAAAGTGCTCCTCTGGGGCAGATTATTACTTGATTCTTCATGCCAATGTCACAAATGGCATATCAAAGTATAAATGGACAATCATGTCCTGAGATTCAGCTTTGAACATTTGTTATATTTCCTTCAAGGGATTAAGATTGAAAGGCTTTAGTTGTGGATTTTACTTATTGTAAATAATTGAACAAATATACAACATGGAAATTATAGTCCCAATCTAATAAAACTGCTGTGAAGTTACTATGGTCAAATATATACTGCACTTTTCATATTTAAAAATGATAAAGAAAATAGTAAATTCCACTATGTGTAACAGAAGTAGGTACTGCTTTTCAGACAATGAGTTTCAATACACTTATTGTTTCTTATTTTATTTCATTTCAAAAGAGACTATACACCTGTGCTTCAGGTAGAGAGGCTACCATCTAATGTATCCATCTACATGCTCCTCCTTGGAATGTTTCCCGTGTTACACAAACATCCTTGTTGTGAGGGGAATGCAAGTGCCCTCAATGGCTGACGGATCCTCAGCCCTTGCAGGGAAGGAACTACACATTTGAGCACTTCCATGCTGATGACCTGAGATGAGGAACAGGAATGGTTCTTCCCCTTTAAAGATATTTTGGTCTCACTTGAGGCCTTTTTCGAAACACTGATGCCCAAAGGGAACCTCAGACCATTTCAGAGATAAAGCTACCTCTGGGCTTCACTTTTCTCAAAGGCAGTTCATTACAATACTCTCTTATATTTCCAGGCATTGGATAGAACAGAGTTGCATTTTGCACTCTTACCTGGATGTGCAGAAGCAGAAATGGGAACAAGCAGCAAACAGACAATGCTTAAACAGATCATGGTCTATGCACTTATACTAACATGCGTTCACTGCCAGGCAGAGGTCCCTTTAGGATGCCAACCACAATAACCAGTTAACATCAGCTTAAAAGAGTCCCTGAGGAATAGATGCTGAGACCTACAGAATCTATGGACATTTCACATGGCTGCATGGGGCGGGGGGCAAAACTGTCTCAAGACCGAAATGATTTTCCCACATACAGCCATGTATCCAATTTAGTTTTTGTGAGAAGGGATGTTTCTCATCCATTTGAACACTCTTCATTTGCATGTTTAAGTTGAGAATGAAAGGTTGACTTAGTCTGGATCTCTGAAGCAGGCCAAAGAGGAGGATCTTGGTGCAAGAGTTAATGAAGTCTGTGCTCCCAAATCAAAAAGCTAGTGGAGTTAGGGAGGGTGGCAAGAGAAGGAAGAAAAGCCAGAAAGTGTGTGATTCCAGGGGACACAGCACATTTTCTGTATTTAAAAGACCTTCTTCCTATGATGTGGAGTACTGTTGTGCTGTGCTTCTCTGTGACCGTTACCAAGAATCCCAGGACAGCAGCACTGCCAACAAAGCAGAATTCAGAGTCCTCACAGAGCACGGAAACTAATGGTCCAGGCAGGGTAGAAACCCATGGAAAATAGTGGTGTAACAGTACAAAAGTTATATCAACCACTGGATGGAATAAATTTGAAGAGATGGAACAAATTATAAAGAGAAACAATGGTAGTAAAATGAACTCCAATCCTAGTGAGAGTGTTAAAATAATAAGTGTGTCCAATGCCATAGATGTGGTTACCTTCACTCTTAAGCATGAAGTCCTGGAAATCTGCAAGCTATTTTCCACTTGCATAATGGTAGTTCTTTCTTGGTGATCTTCTCTTTCGAGACACTGTCAGCATCATAAAGGTCATGGATTGGAAACCTGTGAATGATGGCAGCTGAGCCTGCACAGGCATCACTTTCCAGCTTGTAATAATTATTCATTCCACGGGAAATACCCATCTTCAGCTGAAGGCCTGGGACTCTGCAAGCTCTTTTCCACTTGCACAGCCAGAGTTTAGTTTTCATAATCTTCTGCTTCAGGACACTGTCAGTATCACAGAGGCCATGGATCGGAAACCCACGAATGACAGCTGCTGATCCTTCAAAGGCATAACCCTCCAGCTTGGGAGAACCCTTGATTCCAAAAGAAGCATCCAAATTCAGCTCTGAAAACAAAACCACAACCATCATGATCCATCATTATCTACGACCTCACTGGGATGTCCTCTTCCATCCAAAGTATGTTATTTGGACAAGCAAATCCAAGGGGTGAGAGGAAGTCTAGAGACTCTGTGTCTTAGTTACTTTTCTCTCACTGCTGAGACAAATATCTGACACCCAAAGTTAAAGGAGTAAAGGGTTATTTAGCTCACAGCTTCACTCCCTAATTTGATGGCTTCAAGGCAGGTTGGCTCAGTAGACAGGCATTGCAGAAGAGAAACAGTTCAGGGAGGGCAGAAGGTAGCAAAGCAACAAAGGACAACCACAGCTCTTTCTATCCCTTATATATTATCCAGGCTACTTAGGGCAGGAATCACTCACACCCTTAATCCTAGTGCCCTTGATCCTAGCATTGCACCCTGAGTCAATCCTAGCATCACACACTCTAGATCCAGCCACCTCTGAAAAAGCCCCACCTATGACTGCATGAGGCACTGCATCTAATGATATCATACAATAAGTAAATAAAATGATACCATAAAATAGTCACTATAGCTCATTTATGTCCAAATACTAGGCCACAGATTGAAGAGACCTGATTTAGAAATTAATTTGCATATGTCTCAGATAAGAAATTGAGATATACATATCTAAGAAAACAAACCATATAGCCAGTTACAGTCAACAACGGTAAGGCCAGGTTCTGAGACCACATCTGGTCCTAAACACCAAGCTCTTGATGCTAGAGAATCTGATAGTTCAGGCCACCCAGAGGGTGAATGGGCAAACCCACTGCCTCCTCCAGCCACAAATCCCTGACAAAAAACACGAAGAATGGAGATTGCCATTCCCCTTGCCTTCCATACCTTGGAAGGGCTGGCACTGGCTACCACAGTGAGTGGATGCTGCAAAGCCCCAAGTGGCAGAAGAAAGGCTCAGCCTGGCTTTGCAGTCAGGATAGTCGAAGTACTGACACAGCTGTATTCCCAGACGAGGGTTCCCCTGGATGCGTGATTCCACCTGTGCCTGGGAAGCTTGCAGCTCTGAGAAGTGGGAGCTGAATTCTCCATTCGACAGACCTTGGGCACAGGCCTCCTTCATAGTAGCTGAAAAGAGAAAAGGGTTCAGTAGAAAAATCGCAGTACTATCTTGATAAGATCTTTGAGAACACCCATTACTAGTATCTCTGCATATCAGTGAAACCAGCCTGTGACTGAGAAGCACATCATACATACAAAGACGATGTCATCATCCTGGGGATGATCAGATACAGGTGGCCAGAAAGGAATGTTCCCCAAATGTATAGTCACCCGCCTGAGCAATATGGCTTTGAATTGACAGAGAAGGTCATGTCTATAATTCCACCATTACTAACCCAAGATCTTTCTCCTAGAAAGAAGGTTGGATAAAGCATGCAGAGCATGGAACAGAAAGAGTTGTTGATCTCTATCCAAAGAACACAGAAGTACATAGGGCTTCAAGGCTTGGGGTGCCATAAAAAGGGGAGGTGAGTAACTATAGAACAAGTTCCAAGTCACGGGAACTTTCCAGGGTTCTGAAATCTTATAAAGCCATTGTTGTCTGATTTTTTTGCCCACTATCCACGCATGTGGACTGTACCTTGCAACAAAGAGCCTGTTAGTGGATATGAGGACAGTAGTCAGGTTGCCAGTGCCTTAGGTACGTGATACAAAGTCTGAATTTCTGGTTCCTTAGGAGTATAACAGAGTAGGAAATCTTTATATTACATGTCCTTCCAATGGGGCTTGGACAGTTCCCCCAAATGAAAATTGGTTATATTCTCACAGGGAAATGAGTAGATAATCTCAGTAAGTAAGGGCTTCCAGGAGCCTAGTGCCGGTCCAGGTCAGGCACAGGAGGAGCCATAGCCAGCAAGGTCTCCTGCTTATTGCTGTGAGCTCCTCTGTCTCCTCACTCAGCACATCCTCATTCTAATGTCTATTTCTTTTCCTGAATGCGGTCTTTCCAGTGTCTGCTCTGCTTTATCTTTTGGAGCACAATGTCAGACTTTCTGTGTTTGAATTCCCATTCTCTTGTCACTCCTTCCTCTGCTTCTGCAATCTCCACACCATCAACTGTCTCAAATGAGTTCATTTTCTTTTTATTTCCTTTCTTATCTTTTCCTTTTATGTGAGAGATGGACTCACTGTGTGCACATCCCTGATGGTCTCAAACAGCAAGGCTCAACCAAGCCTCCAATCTCAGGCTCCAGATTAGCTCTGATTCTAAGGTGTCCTTGTACCCAGCCTCACCGCACTTCTAGTCCCAAGTCTTATTCTTATTGTGGGCACACAATTACTCTTGAAAGCGTTCTCTGCACTGACCACTAAATGATTGGTCCCTCACCACACAGTTGTAGTCCTAATTTCTGACCACATGCACGTATCTGACAGCACTGCCCACCACTCCCTTACAACAAATACCCCAAGTTTCAGGCTTCCCCTCCCTAACCCCAGCCAAGTTTCCAGTGTTCTCCCACATCCACATAATTGTCTACAGTGATACCGTGGGTCTGGTGCCTCCTCCGTATTTCCTCAAGACAAAGTTCATTCATCATTCATCTGGACACCAGGTAAGATTTTGTGACAGATCCTACTGTGTTGAAGAGTGAAATATCTTAAACCAACCAAGCTGTTCATTAAAAAATTGTCAGCATCAGAAAAAAGGATGTTAAAGTTGGAAGGATGGAGAGGCATCACTGCTGCAAGAATCTCTCCAAAGAATCCTGGCAATTCCTGCAGTTCCTTCTCAAATGTCTGTGAGACGAGTCGACTATCAACCTGACATCCTACCACAGAGAGCTCTGGGGTCAGAATACACAGGATCACAGCCATGCCCTGCCAGCCTGGAACCTTCTTCCACTCTCTTATTTAGCCCCATGATGTAACTAAACTCAGCTGCTGCCCTCTCCCAGAGCTCCTTCAAAGATCTGAGGCTGGATGCCTTTGCTGTGTGCTCTGTCAGTCGCCAGTTTTAACAAGGTCTGTTTCTCCAACTGCGTCCAGACTTCCAGCTCCTCCTTTGTATACTTCCTACTAAGAAAAGCGCAGATTCAAACAAGTCCCCAGGGAGTCTTGTCCTCAATTATGGACGTTCCATTTAACCTACTGCATACTCAGACTGAGGGATTTTCTAAGCAGCTATGTCTCAGTGAACAGCCTCTACTTAACATAGACTCCTTCTCCCTGAGCTTTGTAGGAAAGGAAACAAAGCCAGACAGCCCTATCCAGGTCTGGCCTGCACACACACACACAGAGTCTCACTATGTATCCCAGGCTAGCCTCAGCTTCAAGCTCTCCTATCTCAGCCTCCTGAGTACTGGGATTATAGGTATGTGTGACTGCACTGGGCCCACAGTGGACAAAGTCATAGCATGGATGGAAGATGGAAAACTAGAGCACTTCACAGGGAAGGAAAGCAACCTCAGAGGAGGCAGAGAACGTGAGTTGGAAGTCAGAAAATAAAAATAGCCTTCCAAAATAATCACGCAGATAGGCTAGCCTGTGTGGCTGTCCAGTGAAGACTGGAGGATCTGGTTGTGAAGTCAACTCCCAGGAACATTACAGAAGCTAGGAAATGACCACCCTGTGCACTGATCTCTGAGCCAGCCGTGCACAGGCAGTAGGGGTGGCGGTGAGAGCTCATGTTCCCTTGTCTTCGCTCACCAATCTGCAGACCTACACAACATGCACAATGGGCACCAGGCTGCCAGAGTCAAGGCCAGGCAGAAGAAGAACAGCAAGGCTCCAGACATGCCTGACCTCTGCTCATTGTCTAAAGCAAAATAGGCCTCTTGGGCCTCCTACAGACACTGCTCTCATGTGAGACAGAGAGGCTGAGCACAGAGGACCCTTGACAGATGAGCTGCACTTCTCTGCAGGGTGATGTAAGTACTTACCGGATCCACCCAGAGCAGAGTACTGTTCAGGCTTCTGTGATGGGGAGGCATCGCCGCCTGCACATTCCTGTGGCTCAGCCACATCAGGATGACAGGTAGGGAGCAAGTACTTTTCATCTAGTGGATGTGGCAGAAGTTCACCTTCTTCCTCTTCGCACAGACTGATGAGATAAAGCAGAACAAAAGATTAATTGGGACGGATCAGAACCCACAGCTCCCCACCTGCTTGTCAATCAAGGCTTAAAGGTGAATTTCAAAGGCACTGAGAAAAGAATGAGGGAAACTATGCATCTCTGGACTGCACATTGCCCGTTTGCCATGAGAATGAGACAGACAGACTGACAGTCAGACACACACACAGAAAGATCAACCACTTCTCAGTGAAATGAGCAGATAACAAGGTGATGAGAAAGAAAACTAAGCTCTGCATGGAAGGTAGAGTGCTGAGAGGGAACACCCAAGAAGAACCATAGCAGGGGCTTGATCTTGTGCACACACAATGTTGAGTTTTGTAGGGGCCTAGAAAACATATGCTTCTGCATTGTAGACACCTCGACAGTTGCACCTTTCGAAACTATTTCCAGCCAGGGGTGGTGGTACATGGCTATAATTCCAGCACTAAGGGGGCTGAAGCAGGAGGATGGTCACAAGTTCAAGGTCAGCCTGGGCTATACAGTGAGCTCAAGGCCAGTTTAAACTCCACAGTGAGACCTAAAAAAACCCTTTTCTGACATTATTTTCTTGAGGGGCTAGGCTGGTTCCTTCTTTTCCTGCCGTGGCACACATGTCATTGATTCATTCCAACAAAACAGAAATGAAATGTGCAACTTATCTTGATTTTGCTCTTACCTGGAACAAGTGGTTTCTTTAAGGGCAGGAATTCCCACAACTGCCTAGTTCCTATAGGTCAGACACACACTACCATTACCATGGAGAAAACACTAAGGACTGCAAAGTGGGCCTGAAGTCTCTGCAAGATTGAATAACACCACTCCCACCAGCACTCTTTGTTTCCCTTTGGAATTTGTGATGACTTCGACCCCATGGTCTTGACTTTTACACACGCACTGCTTAGGGGCTCCTGATCATTCACTCTTACCTGGAATCCAGGATCATTTGATCATCCTCATTCTCCTCGTCTAGATTATCTGCAATCAAATTTAAAACACCCAATTCAGACATCTGGCAGTTCATCTCCCCCATTAGGGGAGCAGTGGGCTCTTTTGGTGCATTCTACTACATGAAGTTCATAGATGAAAATCTCTGAATACCTCCAACCCAACTGCAGTAACACTGATGAACTTACCTGTTCAAATGCTATGCTAATCATGGAACACATATTGTGAGCATTTTAGAGGCGAGGATATGAAGATCCAGGAAGGCTCAATCACCCCATAACTCATAATAAAGTCAGTAAAACTGTCATTCATGCACAGGCTGTTATCAATCTATCATGACTTAACCTGCCACACCCAACTTCCTGGGAAGATGCTGAATGGATGCTGCCTAACCTCCACCAGACACACTTTCCAAGAAAGAAGGCAACAGCTGGAATACTATGGCCTCCACCAAGTGTGTTTCTCTTCTATCCTGATACCAACAGTTCCTTCCTGCCAAGACTCCAAATAAAAGACAGCTAGGAAGAGAACCAAGATAAAGAACGCTGGTATAACAATGTCTCACAGGAGCCGGGCACCTTAAGATAGGCCAGTGTTAACAGGGGCCTGTGGCTACCTTACCTGAGCTAAGTCTGCATGCAAGGCACTTGGCCAGCTTGCACCCCTCAGCAAGTCTGTCTCTGTGACTCTGCATCTGGTGTCCGTGTTGGTCATCTTCAGGGAAGAGACTGCTGAGAGTCTGATGGAGCATAAAGGCTGTCTCTCTCCCTGCCTCCAACTTCAGCCTAAATTTAGTCAGGTCTTGAGCCTGAACTTCAATTAGAAAATTGAAATCCCTAAGGTAAAATAAAGGGGGAATACATATATATAATTAGAACTTAATGAATGACAGGTCAATAGACCACTGAGAGAGTTTCTATGCAAATATCGCTTTAAAGCCTTCAGAGAATAAATCTGGTACATCTTTGGCAAGAGCGCACTGGTGTTTTGAATGTTAAATAGCCAAGGTAGCTCCTGGAGACCTGTACCTTCCGAGTTCTTATGCTTTCTTTGTCTTCAAAAGTTGTAACATAATACATACATACATACATATATATGCTTATGCCTATTTGCAAATATATACATATCATGTACATTGTACATTTGTCTAATTGCCTTCTAAACTGGGAAATTTCCAGCGATCACCTCAGAGGAAGCAGGTAATGTAGATATGACTTTCACTTGCTTTTTTCCATACACAAGAGAACAGGAGTGATCTAGGACAAGAAACCTCCTGAGGTTTACTCAGACCAACTCCACAAATCCATAAGAAGGATATAGAAACTCTAGTGTCCTAGAGAGGACATTGGCATGGTGGACTGGGGGAATGAAACTGCTAAAGACAGAAGTTTATGTTCCCCTTTGTATCATGACTGTGAAAACATTTCTCTTGGTGCTACAATGACACTGCATATCTTACCCATCCTCATCATCCATTTTAGAAAGAAGTTCTTTTTCTTCTTTTCCATTATTTCCCTGTTCATTATTTCCTGCAAGTTCAGAAGTGGATAATCAGAGATAGAGTATTACTGGACCACCCAGGACTATAGGTGTGTGGTGACATAAATATTTAAGTATGCTTTTAGGATATACTAAGAGAAGTATACTGAATGATCCCAGGTTTTATCTTTAAAGAATTTATCTAGCTTGTCATTATAATCCTTCTGAAAAATTAACTTTGAGTTGGGGGGGTCAATACAACAGGATATTCCGGGGTGACAGTGCTTTTTGTTCCCTAGATCATCAGATACAAGTAAAGCTTCCCTCTGGACTTCAACTGTATCCACTTTCCCATCACAAGCTTGTGGCCAGGCACAGAATCTATCCCTTCAGGGCTCTCCTAAGCCAACTCCCTTCTTAAAGAAGAGGCCAGAAAGCCCTGACCCAAGCCTCTATGCCCTTCCCAGCAAGCCCATGTGCTGCCAAGGCAGCTTCTGTGGTCTTTTACAGGAAGATCCTCCGTGTGGAATGTATTTCAGTGTACTTCACAAAGCCAAGTTCCTTCTGGTCGAAATCCTGATTCACCCCACACAGAGGGCTTTATTGTGTTTTAAATTGCACTAGTAAATATCCCCACATTTATTGTGACAGCTATCATGCATGTCATTGTTAGCACTGGACAGGCAGACACAGACATTTTGAGATAGATCAAAACCCACCCGCTCATATAGTAAAGACGGCACCAGGGACAGATCCTTGAAACACTTGACTTCCAGCAAGTGGCATCCTGCCCTTTAGCACTGCCCCCATCCCAGGGTGTCTCTCTTCTCTCTCCTACCTGGGAAGTGCTGATATCCTCACAGGCCAAATGACGTGTGGAAAGCTACACCTGGGAAAACGTAACTTGTGGAATGTGGAAAGCCTGAACCTCAAAGCAGCTGCTATTTTTCATTAGTACGTGTGCGGTCCTTACTGCTCACATTCCATGTGGGGAGTCGGTACCTGCACACACTACGACTGCATTGCTTTCTCACCCCTCGCCACAGCCATCCCTCCCCGTCCCCATCTCTTGGTCCCCACTCCTTTTTTGTACATATTTGCAGTACACAATGTTTACATTCCTATGAGTAGTTGGAACTTATACATGATACATCTTAATTCCTTTCTTCCTCCCCCGTCACTCCTGTGTCACTCCCCTCTCTCTTTGAAGGGAAGTAGGAGTACAACCTTCAAAGACAGAGAAATTTATCTCTACTTCTTGATTCCTTTCCTCTTTAAAAATACCTATCTCCTCATTTCAGCTCATTTTAATCACAGTCTGTGACCCCTCACCTTCACTGAGCTTCAGGACAAGATTCTCAGCCATCTTGCACCCCTGGGCCAGTTGTTGTATGTGGCCCTGAACCTGGTAGCCTTCAGCGTCATCTTGGGTGAGTAGAAATTCCAGATGCTGTCCAAGGGACAAAGAGGTATCTTTCGCTTCACTTAGCTGCTTTCGTAGCTGGGACAGCTTCTTGGCATGAGCCTGAATTATGCCAAAATATTTCCTAAGGGAGATAGAAAGGAAACAAGGACAGTGTAAATGGGATGAAGGTAATTCTAAGGACTTTGAGAGAGATTTCTCTGAAGACATCCCAGGGGATTCCTTCAAATACAAGGTTGCTACATGCAGAGTAAACAGTGTATAAATTTTTTTAATAATTGCATGCAAAAGAAAGTGAATTCCTGAGCCATTTTATACCTAGTACTTCATATTCTTGAATTTGTCTTTATCTATTTATATTTCTAGCCAAGAAGAAACTCTGAAGGAGCTAAAGCCAAACTGCAAAGACTGGACATGCATCCCTCTCTGATTTTGATCATGAAGTGAACAAATATCATAGACACGAAAATGTTGAAATCCATGAGCATCTGAGGCTCATCTGAATTCTATTTTAGGTCATTTGAGAAACTAGTAGGAAGTAACATGCATATTAGAAAATCAAACAAAGTGAGCCACATCAACACACACTTTGATACCACTTCTTGGTTTCTGGCCTGAGATCAAGGGTAACACACACTTGGAGGTTCCTTGATTGGATGAAATAGATACACGCAGCAGATTGTATTTCCCAAGGATCTGCCTATGAGGTCTTCATAGGACCTGAGTTACCATTAGAAGTCCCGGATTGCCAGAGTTACCTGGAGGCCTTTGGTTGTGGGTCTTCATCCTTATAATCATGGGTATTTTCTACAAATAAAGTTAGAAGAGACCAATCACATTTTACCACCTTGAATCTGCCATCTAACTCTCAGAAAAACGGTTTGCAGTTCTCTTTATAAGGAGGACTCACGCGCTGCATCCAGAGATGATGAGACTTCATGTGCATCTGCCAGCACAGCTGCAGTGCAGCAAGGCTCCTGGTTGTCAGGTAAGTTGTAGTGACGGGTGCGTGTCTTAGGGCCTTCACCTAATGAATCTTGAAGGAGTTCGGTTATTTTTTCCTTTTCCATTCCCTCTGTGCTCAGCCTGGTGGGATAAAGAATATCACTTAAAGCAAGGAAGATTGAATACAAGATTCCTCAGTGGTCCTGACAGAGGCATAACTGAGAGGTCACACAACAGCATAAGAGCTGAATGAAATTTATCCTCCTAGAGGAGAACAGAGTCCACTTGCCTTGAGGGAGGGAGACAGGCAGATGTGGTCAGTGCACCGACTGGAAAGTGAACTGATGAAGAAGGAATCCTAAGGCTCCCTGTAGCACATGACCATGACACAATGGTACCCATAAAGCCAAACCAGTGGCTCCACTTTTTCTTTAAATTTTTTTTTTTTTCCAGTACTGGGAATCAAACTCTCGACCTCGCGCTTGCCAGGCAGGCACTGTGCCACTGAGCTAAATCGCCAGCCCCTTTTTCTTTAAATTGTGTTTCATTTTTATACAGAAAAACTTTCAGTGCTCCTAGGATACTTTAGAATCCAAGATGTCTTGTGTATTCTAGACACTTTCTATATATCTATTGTGATATTAGTGTCTTTTATCTTGTTATGTTCATTGGTATGAAATCCCTGCCAACCAAACAAGGTCAGAACCAGACATGCATCTCATCCCCAATGATCTATAAACAGAGAATACAATCCATATGTTTAAATATTGGTAAGCTGATTAGTACTATTTAGGTATACAGATGTCTATCTAAAGGAAAATGGATACCTTGTACAGAGAGGTACTTTTTCACTAACTGAGGATATGTGATCACACCAGCAGTTTTATGTACTTCTGCTCATAAAGTCTGTGGTTACATGTGACCTTTTATATGGCTTAGTAGTCATATTAGTTCTACATTGCTCATGCTAATGTGAAACCTCAATAATTTTTACCTGAGGGCCAGAAATTCCTGTTCTTTTTCATTGTCTTCATTGTCCTGGTTTTCTGCAATGGAATTCAGAAGTATTCACTCAGCCATTGAGTACATGCACATCACCTGTTATAAACACAACAGCTCCCTGGGCACAGAACCAAGATACCTATGTGGGATCTGTTGCATGAGCATGAGGACTCCGTTTCTCTGCATGAGCCAGGTGAGAAGTCTGTTGCAAACAGCACTGCACTCTTACCAATCATATGACTTTGGTCCAATGATAATGTGGAATGGTGCACACAAATTGGACAAATAGTTGGGATGTTGAGAAGCCTTTCCATAGGTGACAGCCCAGGACATTGGCTCACTAAAGCCAGAATCTAAATCATAGGACTGTGTGATGCTTTCTCTTCTTCCACACCTACTCACAGGCAACAGCACTCTAATGCCATAACCAATGAATAAAACCAAGGGAACTACAGACACAGGTGTTAAGCAGAACTATCACAAGAAGCCAAGACACAAGAGCAGACAAAAACAAAAACAGTCAAGGGGATTTTAGTCTGTAGTAAGTTAGCTGCAGCATACACAAAACATGGCTTAAACCCATCCAAATAAACAGAAAACTTCCTTGAATGTTGGATTTATTTCATTCATGTCATCTGCTTAATCATGTGTGGGTTTCAAGAAAATACTTGAAGACTTCCCAAGACAAAAAGGATACATATTGGAGAAAGACCAGGCAGATATGTAGAGTTATCATACCAAAAGTGAAAAACAATACGATTAATATGCTAACAGCTACAATTCAAAAAGTAGACAATGGCCAGACAGGGAGAGAGAGAGAACTGAGAGGAAATGTTATGAATACAACAAGTATCACAGTCATAGAGAAAACCTAGATGGGCTCGCCATACACTAGATACAGCTGTGGAAATAATTAAGAACCTTGGAGAAATGGCAACAGAGTATTCCAAGTGTAAGATGCAAAGAGAAAAAGAAAGGGGAAAGGGAAAATAAACAGGGTTCATGATATTGAACAATGGTACAGCAACTACCTAGCAGTGGGAGTCCCTGGGTTTGATCCCCAGCACTGTAAAAATAAAAGAAAACAAAAATCAAGAAAAGGATAGAATATCTGAAAAAGCGTGGACAAGTATAAAACACATCATTTAAGAAAAAAATGTCAAAAGAGGAAGAGCAAAACAAACGGTAGATCAGCAGCAGAGGGCCTCGGCCCTAGAGAATTATTCATCATGCATTTTCCTTGAGATCATAGGGAATTTTCCTAACTACCCTTCAGACATCTTCATTAACTTGCTCTATCAGGTCCTTTCTTTATATTTTTTAGGTATTAATAAACACAGGTTAGACTGAGGGGGAATGCAGAAACTCTTTCAAAGAAACAAACCCTTGGCGCTCCCTAGGGCACAAGATGTTTTGCCACTGGTGGAGGTGGTGGGTGTCAAAGTACAGCTTCGGAGTCCTTGCCTTCTGCAAATTTCACATGCAGGCAATGAAAATGTACAGGTTCAGGTCCTTGAAGGATGTCTGCAGAGCACAGCACCCCAGATTAGAAAGAGTAACTGCTGCCTGACAAACTGGATTTCTGTGCTTCAGATCCTGCTAGAGAATTTGACTGAAGCCCAGGTGTACCTGTTAAGCCTGCCTGCAGAGAAAAATCCCTTACCCACATAGGAGGCTGAGAGTAAAGGACATAGAGACAATGGAGGAGACAGCTGGGACCCTTATTCTCTTTGCAGTGGGTGACTCACTTGTCACATTCAGATTGGAGGGAGCTACATGCTCCTCAGTCTCGGGTGCTGGACTCTTGCCAGGCTGGTGGGAAACACACAAGTCCTGGCAATGGGAAATAGCCAACAAGTTCTCATTCATTTTCTCCTGCAGTACATTATTTTTATCCTCCTTTTCTTGGAGAAACCTGTATGGAGAACAAAAGATTAAACAATAGAACATTGGATAGCACAACTTCTTCCCTGGTTCTGACATGAAGGCTAAATGGGAGGCCACCAAAAAAAAAAAAGAGGCAGCCATTGCTTCAAAGAGAAGGAACACGATCACCTCTGGGTATGACACAGTATGATTGTCATGGGGGTTAGAGCAGGACACGGGCTGGACGAGAGAGCAGCAGGTGCTCGGTGCACTGGTGTGAGGACATGAAGGAGAGAGGGACACTCGGCACACCCTGTAGGATGCAGCTACGGCAGGCACACAGTGAAAAGGATCCAGTGGCCACAATCCCAGTGCTTTTGGTGCACATTATTTGCAGTGCTCTGGTTATTAAGGGTTTCTGAGGCATTGGTGACTCCAAGAGATCAAGGGAACCACAGGTCTGTTTGCCTGATGTTGTAATTTAATATAATTACCTATTCAGTCCAGTTACATTTCTTGCTATGGAATCCCAGTCAATAAACTAAAGCCTAATTTGAAGAAGGAGGGGGTGCCTCTCCTCCCAATTACCTCCCTCGGGAAAGTTTAAGGCTTCAACGTGAGTGCAGGCGAACCTGAGATTCCTTCACCTTAGGCCAGAAGGACTCTAGGTTACTATACATGAAAAGAAAGCAAAGGTGCTGTCTTGGTTACTTTTTTTTCGTTGTTGGGACAAAATACCTGACACCCAAAATTAAGGTAGGAAAGGTTTATTTTGCTTACAGTTTGTGGAGGTTTTAGTCTGTACTTGGCAGATTATAAGGCAGAGTGGCACATGGCAGAGAGCTACAGCTCATGGCGTCCGAACACAGCAAAAGCAACAAACAGACGCACACCGGGTGGAATGGCCTCAGGCACTCTTTTCCTCTCCCTTAAATATGTAAACTATCCACCCCAGGGAGGGTGCAGCTCTCACACCCCTAATCAATCAAACTTTAAAAGCCTGCCCCATGGCCGCATGAGGCTTTGGGGGGACACCCAAACATAAACCATAACAGGTGCAAATCCAAAAAAGAAGCACCAAGCAAACAGACCCCATTTCTGGTTGGCAGAAAGGATGAAATGGGAATATAGAGCAATGTCTGCTTTTCCCAGGACCTGAGATCTCCAGGAGTCACCACCACATTCACAGACTGTGATGTTCAGATTCACCTGGGCTCCACTGGCTCTGCCTCTTTGTCTTGGTTCTCAGCATCCTGAGGATCTGCAAATATATAGAGATACAAATACTCACAACATAAACTCAGCTGATGATCCACTTCAAACACTGTGCCAAGTTAGATACAGAGATACAGGTGATCTTGGTGTGAGAACAGGACACTCTGAGGAGAGTATCATAGGAAATCTACTACTTCCTACTAAAAATATTAGACGGTTTGCTTTTCTCAGTGCCTGGCCAACTCTCCGTAAACTGTTCAGTGAATATCACTATGGGTTTTACACTAAATCTAACAATCAGTCAAAATAATTCACTGCTTTATAGAAAAATGTCTACAAGACTGATTGTGTGTTCCATTAAACACACTGGTTCTTACTCATATTGTAGAGATTATTCTCTGAGACTAAACTGACAGATGGACTTTTAGAGCCTCAGGATTAAAAAAAGAACTTTGGTGATACTCAGAGAACACTCTGCATTCAACAGCTGAAAATGTCAGGGCTCCCTGGGCAGAATGGTACGCTCCTGTAATCTCAGTACTCAGGATGGTAAGGCAGGAGAATCACTGTGAGTTCTAGGCCAGTCTGGACTCCATAGTGAGTTCAAGGCCTGGACAAACTACACTGCAAGACCCTGCCTCAGAAAAAAAAAAGAAAAGGAAAGTATCCAGGCTTTCATGATATGCCTTTAGGATTAATGTCAGGTGTAGTTAAGAAGTATTTAAATTCTACTAGGAAATGATACCTTAGAAGAGACAAGACAACTTAGAAGAGAAAGGGATGGTGGCATGGATGTGAGGAACCCTGATAATAATATCTCCAATGACAAAATCAACAGGAAAACACATTTGGACAGTCAGTATTGTTGAAAGCACACACTTCAGGATTAATTATTTGCAAATCCTATGCAGGGGAGATCAGCTATCCCTACTTTAAAGAGTGAGCTTGTGCAGCTCTATGATACGCACAGGCACCATCGTGGCTGAATCTGATGCCATCCCATCAGCCTCACCACTCTGTATGCTCCTGTATTTAATACCCTGAATCTTATTTTGCACCCAAAGAAATAAGGTTTGATGAGGGCAATTCACTGCACAGTGGAAGACTCACAGTTTTTTTCTAGGAAAAAGGAGAGTTCACGTTCATCTGTCAGATTGCCAGTGGTCCGAGGAGGCTCCTCGGTGTTACACAAGCTGCAGCCATGGGAGGAAGGCGTAAAGTCTCCAAGCAGTGAGTCCTGCAGTATTTGTTCAATTTTTTCCTTGTTTGCGCCCTCAGGGTTCATCCTGGTAAGATAAAGAATACAGTTAAACCAACGAGGATCCACTATGATATTCCCTGGGGGTACTGACAGAGGTGTAAAGGAGTAGTCCTGTAACCTAAGGGACACCACCCTCAAACAGAAAGAAAATCATTATGCAGGAGCTGCCTGCCTGAGGTCAGGAGACAGGAGGCAATGCACAGTGCACTGGTTGGAAAATGAGCTGATGTAAAAAGAGTCTAAGGCTGCTGCATGCTACAACCAGGACATGCAGGACACAGAAAACCACAGCAGTGATTCAACCCTTCCTATAGTGTTGCTTTTACAGACAGCAGGATGGTCAATGCCTCTGAGAAATTTTAGAGTCCAACAGACATTTGAAATGCACATTTGTGCATTTGAAGACTTTATATATATATATATTGTAACGGGACAGATTTTTTTAAAAAAAAATCTGGTCTGGTTCCTTGGTATAAAATCCCTGCTGATATGCTACGACCACTCATACATAACCAGACATGCATTACATCCGCAACTGAACCATACAACAAAGAAGAGTAGATTCTGTGAGTTTGATGTATTTGTGAGGGTGATTTGTTCTCCTCAACTGCAGATGAGTATTTCAAGGACAATGGACACCTTGTTAAGAGAGGCGCTTCTTCACTGGATGAGTATGTCATCACACTGGCAGGTTTTTCTACCTTTGCATGTAAAATCTATGGCTACTTTAAATCTCCTGTTGGAACCATTTGGGAACTTCTTCATGTTTTACTCATCCTAATTCAGTCCCTGAATATATGTATATATAAAGATATAGTTACCTGGGGGACAGTAATTCATGTTCCTTTTTACACTCCTCATCTTGATGATTATCTGCAATCAAATTCAGAAATGTCAGTCAGGCAATGACTATACTAAAAATTTGCCAAAACAAAATTTTATAAAAAATAGAAGTGTGAAATTAAAAGATATTCTTATTTAAAGGCAGAGTACCACAAAAAATAGAAAACAAACAAAAACCCAAAGAAAAAAATCAGTGAATATGAAGCAGTAGTTAAGATGGCAAATATTAATCCAAGTATATCAATAAAAACCTCCAATGTCAGTGGTTTAAATAGTATAATTAAAAGTCAAAGATGTTCAGAGTAGATTACAAACAAAAAATGTTATCTAGAACTATGTTATCTAGAAGAACTCACATCTTCTACGGAGACGAACAAGGATATACCCTTTAACACCAATCAAAAGTCTTTTGACTAGTAGTCTACTAGTGAGCTACATTAAAGTCAGGCAAAGTAAACTTCAGAGTAATAAAAATGACCCAGAATAAAGATGATCATTAACTACGGAGAGAGAATCAAATCTCCATAAAGATGTGACAGTCCTATACATGCATACACTTTGTGCAAAAGTCAAAACATTGCAGGCAAATATGGATACAACTGCATTACAGTTGGAAAATGCAAAACGCACTAAACATACAATGACAGATCCAGCAGGCAAGAAATCACGAGGATACAGCTAAATTGGACTGGAAAAAAAAATGTAAAAAGAGAAACCATTCATGATGGATCCATACATATTAAAAGGATATTATGGAAACCTGCCTTTCCCTAACTTGGAACAGATCAATTCCTTTAAAGACAAATTTAACACAGTACTCACAAAAATATTCTGATAATAGGTCTATACCTATTAAAGAAATTATGTCAGTTCCTATAATTTCCAAGATCAAAAATACTTGGCCCAGATAAACTCAATGGTAAACTGAATTCTTCCAAGCATTAAAGGAACAAATTTCACCAATTACCTACAACCACTTCCAAAGAAATACATTCACAAAGAATAACTCTTAAATTATTCTATGAGGCAAGCATTACTGTAACTCTAAAAATGGACAGGGTTTTAGAAGAATAAAAACCTCTGCTTAAATATGTGTCACAGACCAAAAAACCATAGCAAACTGAATGGAACAATTAATTTCAGTTGGTTGCCTTGTATAATTAATTATTAATTGAGGTCTACTTTATTTGGCAATGGAATATTTGTGAATGCACTTAAACAAGATGACCATTTTCATACTTGGATTTGCACAGGTATTTGGTATAGTATCACCTGATGAGGGGAGTGTTGCTTTATAACTGAGCACTTTCCCACAGAATTTCTCCTCCTGACAGAGCCGAGGCTGATCTGTTACCTTTATCACAACTGCTGAGCCAGCAGTCCTCAATTATTAACAAAAAAAAACATAGTTTATATTAGATTGCCCTCTTGTGTTTAAATTCTATGAGTTCTGGAAAATCTGGACAATTAATAATTATACAAGGCAACCAACTGAAATTTATTCCATTAATGCAAAGGCAGTCCAACACTTAATCACTGATTAATCCCTCACATCAACAGACTACAAGAGAAAACATTTATAATCATAGGAACACATGTACAAAGAGCACCGAACAAAATCTAAAATCCACTCAGACTGAAAAATTTCAACCTAGAAATACAAGGAACTTCACAGTATGAGAAAGACTATCTGCAAGTTAGGTGTGCCAGGACAGGCCTGTAATCCCACCATTTGGGAGGCTGAGGTAGGAGGATCTCCTCAAGTTTGAGGCCAGTGTGGGCTCCATAGTGAGATCTTCAAAGAGGTAAGGCTGGTGCCAGGCTCAGAGGTGAGAAAGCACATGCTTTCACACCAAACACAGGAACTTGGTAAGGATGCCCACTCTCACCCCTGCTACTGAACATTACACTGGAGCTGTAAGATGATACAAAACATAAGAAAGGGATATACAGGGTGAACAAATTCAGAAAGAATGAATAAATATTTCTTCATTTGCAGATAACACGAATGTTTTTTTAATCCCAAGGAGTAACAAAAAAAGCTTCCTGAAAAAAGTCATTAATCTATAGAGCTGATGGTACATAGCTAATAAATGAGTAATTGCTTCTCACATACCAACAATGAACACTTGGAATTTAAAACACAATACAGTTTGTATCAGCAAAATAAGAAAATCCTTATGTATGAACTTAGCAGACTCAATTATCTGGTATATAAATGGAGATATAATATACATAAAGGAAGAAGTCTTAATGCTGTGAATATATCAGTTCTTTGTGACTCAATCTACCAATTCAATGTAATTCCAGCTAAGAACCATCAGATTCTTTGGAAGATGCAAAACACAGATTCTCCAGCTTATGTGAGAGTTAGAAGATCCAGGGGAAGAAGCCAAATACTAAGACAGCAAAGTTAAAAAACTGACATTACCCAAATTCAAGATTACCATATAGCTACAGTAATCTCCTGGTGAGAGAACACGCCACCAAGTCACTGGGTCAGAACAGAGCCTAGAAACGACTCACACAAACAGCTGATAAAAGACCTGGTGCCATACCATGGGGAAAAGTAAGTCTTTCCAGTAAGAAGTGCTAGAACAAGTACATATCCACAGGTCGCAAAGAACAATCTAGACAAATCCCTCACACTTTGCACAAACAATTAAATTAGACTGGATCATAGACCTAGAGCATAAAAGACAAGCATTTCAGAAACTAAAGACAACAAAGAAGATTCAGATGAACTTTCAGTATGGGCATCACTCCTTAGACACAGTGCCCAAAGCAGAATCCATGATGAAAAAACAATTCAATTGGACTTCATTAAAATTTATCTCTGCTCTGTAAAAACACTGTTAAAATGATTAAAAGATAAACCACACGGTGTGAGAAAATATTGGCAAAACACATCACTGATGATAAACAAAGACATGGTTCTTTGAGGACTGGATGAAAGACAGCTAGATGAAGAAGTACAGCAGACTTTTAGGGCACTGCCAAGGAGGATCTCCGATTATCTATCTTCCAGACTTTTATGGAATTTAAACACAGAGAGGGCAACCTAATACAAAGTATGGCTTTTTTGTTAATAGTAATTTAGGACTGCTGGCTCAGCAGTCATGATAGAGGTAACAAATCAGCCTGGGCTCTATCAGGAGGAGAAATTCTATGGGAAAGTGCTCAGTTATAAAGCAACACTCTCCTCATCAGGTGATACTACACCAAATACCTAAACAAATCCAAGTATGAAGGTGATCATCTTTTTTAAGTGCATTCACAAATATTCCATTGCCAAATAAAGTGGACCTCAAGAGAGATAGCAATGACCAATCAAAGACAAACAGAGCAATCAGGCTGCAGGCTGAGGAACTTTCCTTTTAGTTCAGAAGGATTTTTTTTTTTCTCTAACAAGTTGCCACCTCCACACCCCCCTTTTCTGCTTTCACTAGGGATAGATGCTGGAAATTTAGCCAAAAATCACATTTGTTAAGAAGAAAGGATACAGTTTGGACGCTCAGAACTTCACCCTGTGCATTTATCTCCAGTGTGAGCACGAGGCAGCCTTGAATGTCCCTGGGCACAAAATATGACATGCTCACCAGAAGGCCCGGTTAAAAAAAAAAAGTCACTCCATGAAGACACTGTCTTGTAAATTGGGGACCTTGGAGTTCCTCAGGGTCATCAATGCATGTGGGCACCTCACCTGAACTGAGCAATTGCACAAGGTTCTCTGCCAGCCTGACGCCTTCAGCCAGTAGCTCACGGAAGCAGTGACCCTGGTTGGTATTAGGGTCATTCCGGGTGAGGATGTCCTTGAGATGTTGACATAGGAGAAATGAGGCATGTCTCCCCTGCTGTAATTTCTGCTGAAGTAAGGACAGCTTCCCATCTTGATCTTGAGTTTGCAAAGTGCATTCCCTAGGTAAAATAGATGAAAAATAAAAGCCAGAACACACCATGGGGGCACTGACACATATTTTGTGAGACTATCCTTAAGAATCCAGAAACAGAAGTCAGGTTTGGTGACCTGCCTATTGCAAATGAAAATAAAGACAGGTGTCCTCTGTGTCAGAAAGTGTTCCTATAGGATTTCTGAACATTCTCCTCATCTGCTCTTCTCTAACCAAAACCAGGTGTCTCTCTCCATCTCCCACAGATGCCCCTTCAGACCCTCATTGGCTATAGACATCTCTATGTCTGTAGAGACACAATGCATTCGTGCAGTGAAGCAACAAAAATGTATCCAGTTGGAGCTGGGATTCTTAGGAGAAAATGAAAGAAACAAAGCTTGTCAAGCTCAGGAAGATACCACCTTTCGGAATGAAAGGTGAGAAGCTGTCACTCGTCGGTAGAAGAATTTGAAACATTGTAAATGGGGTAGCAACTGCACAGTATCAAAGGTGGGGAACACAACAAATGCCCCATAACTTTTTACTTTCAATTAATTTTATATTAATTGAAGTCAGTTCAATACAATGTAAGAAGTACAAGTGAGAATCTTTATCAAAATTTTATTGCATCCTCTGCCAAGTATCTTGTTCCCTGAATGTTTCACAGGGCATGGTCAGCTGTGTAACTCCATGTGGCTTTCTGCCCCTCCCATGGACCAGGCTAGCTCTTGGTTCCATCCCTGAGCTGGCACACCTCAGGCATTCACACACCTCCCACTCTGTTTGAAAGGAACAGAGCCCCTTACCTCTGATTTTTGGCCAGGCTCAGCTTCTCAGCCAGACTTTCTTCCTTGTACTGCAGCTTCTCGCCCAGAACAGACTCAATAATGTCTTTGAACTTTCGACAATCTGAGAGAGACACAGGCACCCGCCTCAGTGGACAGTTGCCGAGTAACTGTGGCACTGTCTGCAGGAGAGGAGTCTGCACCCACCGTAAGGATAAATGACATCGCAACACACAGGTTTGTGTAACCACGTCCACATTTTTATTCTCCAATCTCTTAAAGAGATGAGAGGTCCTGGTTTCCATTTTAGAGCTAAGGAACATAAACCTTTAAAGCCATATAAGTGGACATGATTCAACTGGTGTAGGCAGAGACAAAATTTACATTCCATGACGTCTAAATGTGAATCCAGGAAAACTACAATTACAAGCCTGCAGCCTCTAAAGTTGAACACTAAGCTGGGCTGGAAACAGCGCTATCCTTTATGCTTGGATTGGGGCTGAAAACAGTCTCGGTTTGGGATTGCAGTAAGCAGCACAAGTATGATCTGGAAACATTTGTGTGAAGCGTAAGGCATGAGAGCATAAGGACCTAGAGAACATGCCCAACGCTAACAAATTTTGCATCGAGTTAAGAGAAATAGAAATATCAACTCTTAGTGTTTACTCTAGGGCAGACATTGTTGGAAATATTTTATTAGAAGAGACTTATGTGCTTGTGAGTAGAAGTAGGTATAAGTACAGAAGATATGAATAGCTGAGAAATCTGAGGGGAGGAGAAGACAAGAAACCTGGATTTTCTTTTTTTTTTTTTTTTTGGTTTTTCTCCAGTACTGGGAACCAAACTCACGACCTTGCGCTTGCCAGGCAGGCGCTTTTGCCACTGAGCTAAATCCCCAGCCCAAGAAACCTGGATTAGAGCCATGGAGACTGATCCAGTGTCCATACTCTACCCACCATCACCACTAAAAAGACTTGTGGGATGTCTTTCTTTCTTACTTTGTCATCTTCAAAATCGTTGGCTGCAATAATATTCTGATTGTAAGGGAAGATGTTAATGATGTACAAGTGGCCATTTCCAAAAACTGACCTCTTGGCTTGTTTAACATGTGTCAATTTTTACCATTTTCAATTGGGATCTCATCTTACTAAGAAGCATTTTCATATCAAAAGAAATCACCAACAGAACAGAAAGAAAACCCACAGAATGGGAAAAATATTTAGCCAGTTGTCCCTCAGACAAAGGACTTCTATTTATTTCTTTTTGGTTTATTTTTTGTTTTTTTCCAGTACCGGGAATCAAACTAATGACCTCACGCTTGCCAGGCAGGAGCTGTGCCACTGAGCTAAATCCCCAGCCCCCAAGGATTTCTATTTAGAACATATAAAAAACTGAAAAAAATCAGGCCCCTCAAATTCAAAGACGTAATCCAAATATAGGCATCTGAGATGAATATGCACTTCTCAGATGAAGAACTAAAAACAGCAAATAAATATAAGAAAAAATGATCAACATCATTGGTCATTTGAGAGATGCAAATTAAAACACTGAGATTCTTTCTCATTCCAAAAAGAATGGCTGCTATCAAGAAATTAACCAATAACAAATGCTGGAGGAGCTGTGGGGGAAAAGGAACCCTTCTCTGCTGTTGGTGGGAATGTAAATTGGTGTAACCACTGTGGAAATCAGTGTGGAGAGTACTCAAAAATTAGAATTAGAGGTCTCCTTCAACCCAGCAGTTCCCCTTCTGGGTATCTACCCAGAAGAATTAAAAACATCATACCACAGTGCTATATGTGCACTTATGTTTACAGCAATAAAATTTGTAATAGCTAAACCTTGGACACAACACAAATGCCCATCAACAGAGGAAGGGATAAAAAAGATGTGGTCTTTTTATACAATTGAGTACTATTTAGCCATAAAGAAGGAGACTTTTATAGGTAAATGAATGCAACTTGAGACCATCCTCACAAGTAAAATAACTCAAACTCAGGTATAAACATTGTATTGTCCCCCTGGTGTGAGAAACTGAAAAAGTAAATAAGGTCCAAAATGTACAATAGATATTGTGAAATGGGAAGAAATTGTTCAAAAGGAAAGAGGAACCAGGGTAGGGGAAACAGGAAAGGAAGGAAGGGAACAAACAAATCATTATATTACTAGTTTCTCTTAGTTAATTGCAAAGAAAGGTTCATTCTAATGTCATTTGGAGGATTTAATGCCCGTATTTTATAATCTGAGTAACTAATTAGAAGATAACAATATGCAATGTATTAACTATTGTTAGTCTCCTGTTTTGAAGTTTTGTCTTATTTTTTTCCATAAAATAAAAAAATTGAGTTCAAATTTCAATTTAGTTCAAATTTGCAGTTCAGCTAAACATTCTAAAGGTTATTTGATAAATGAGACAAATTCAGGGTCGGAGGTGGCAGGATTGCTTGTGCTCCTGCTGTTGTACATAAGGCCTTGTCCCCTGACTCCTTCAGTCAACACAGTCCTTCTCACTGCTCTGCCCAATGGGCTCTTGCTGCCAGGCTCAATGCAAGAGGAATAAAAAAGGTATGGTCTTTTTATATAATTGGTCTTTTTATATAATTTTACATAATTATATAATTCTAATGTCTTTTATATAATTTTATATATTTTTTTATTTTATGAAAAAAATAAGACAAAACTTCAAAACAGAATAGGAGACTAACAATAGTTAATACATTGCATATTGTTATCTTCTACTTAGTTACTCAGACTGTAAAATATGGGCAGCAAATCCTCCAAATGATATTAGCACAAACCTTTCATTGCAATTAACTAAGAAAAACTAGTAGTATAATGATTTTGTATGTTGTCCCTTCCTTCCTTTCCCCTTTTCCCTATCCTGGTTCCTCTTTCCTTTTGAACAATTTCTTCCCATTTCACAATATCTCGTGTGCATTTTGGACCTTATTTACTCTTTCAGTTTCTCACACCACAAGCTTGGGGCTCACTGTGGCTGAGGGGACCCACATATTCTTCTTCTCATCTTTGGCCTCATGTCTCATTGCTCAAACCCTAGTGGTATACTTTGACTGGTTGACCTTCCTGTGTCCCTCAAGTTTCAGTGCCTCAGCTATACATAGATAGGGCACTACAGATTCTTTACTATCTCAAAAATGCCTTCTGCTACACGGAGGTGTAATGTGGTTCTCTTGGACTTCAAGGAAAAGCCTATAACTTAGGACCCAGGGCTTCTTCAGCAGAGCATCCCTGGTCTCCATGGTGACAGTTATGGCTGCTATAATTTCAGTTAGCATCGGAATTCTCCATAACCCTATTTAAAATAGGAGCACCAACATGTTTCCCCAGCAAAATCAGCACTGTGTTTTGCCAATAAGAAGTCAACAGAAGCTTGAATTAAATGGAATATCACCGGTCCTAGATCTTTAGGCCAACAGTGATATTATACATCTGCAGGATCTCCTAGGGTATAGAGAGGGTCTAATAACAACAGCTATAACTGACCTTGAAAAAAGTAGCTAATTTCATGTTTGGATCAGGAATCAGTAACATATTTTAACCCTAGTCTCATTGTACACTTCAGTATAAAATAATAATCCTATGCTTAGCCTACACTTCACTATAAAATAAGAGAAACTGGTAGTGGTACATGTCTATAGTCCCAGCTGAGGTAGGAGGATCACTATGAGACTGAGGTCAGCCTGGGCTACATAGTGAGGTCAAGATCAGCCTCAACAACATAATGACACCCTGTCTTGAAAATAAAGAAAAAATGCAAGAGAAAATTTGGTGAATGCTTTGAGCATCGATTTTTCCATTGACATTAACTGGAAGGCGAGAAACTAACATCTATCTTTCTATGGATATAGGAAAAACATTAAGTTTGGAGACAACTTCCTTTCTCAGAGTGAAAAATATCATTCATCACTTTGGGGATCATGAACCATAGAACTTACTGTGTTTTTTTAGCTCATTAGCCATGGAATAGACAGTAGCTTCAGACAGAAGAAAATGTCCTTTGAGTTCATGAAACTTCTCCTTACTCTCCTCCAGCTGTAATCGCAATTCCTGTTCAGTTTCTGAAATACTCAATTCAGCCTTTGAATGACAAGAAGGGTCGATGGGTATTCCCATGATGACGTACGTGGTGCAAGAGGTAGAGCCAGAGACTGTGGAGACAACCCCAAACATATAAGAGGTTAAAATCAAATGAAATCAAATAGGTTGGATGAGGACTAGGGATGACAGCAATTATACTTACTAATTTACCGTTGAGATAAAGATGACCAACACCCACAACACTCAAGAATCCTTAACCTTAAAAACAAGGATCAAGAACCAGGGCTGAAGGCACTGCCTGTAGCTCAGACTCCAGCAGGAACTGAGAGGCAGGGCCACCCACGAAAAGCAGGTAAATGTTGGCAGTTGCAACCACGGTAATAGAATGCAATCGTGTCACAGAATGTCAGGAGCCCCACGCTTCCAGCTGCCTCAGCCATGCAGATATATAAAGCTACTGGTTCTCTTCCCAAAAGTCAACTAGTGACAAATTCTCACTCATTCCATAGTCTTAATATCTGTGTCCTCTTGGTCCAACAGCAACTACCTCTTTCCCAAAAGACCAACACATATTTCACAGTGTTCATGCTTATGTATGTATAAAATCATCAAAGCAGAAATCATTTCCAAACATGTTATGTTTTCCTTAGTGCTGCCTGGAAGACACCTCACCATTTCTTTCTTTCTTTCTTTAAGGCATATCTTAAGGCCTTTTTCAAGTGAAAACTGTAAAACCATGTGAATGAAAAATAGAAAACTATTGTGATACTTTTCTCTGACTATTTGCCCATTATTTCCAAATTCATTAAAATTATACAAGAAAGAGGAATATACAATACTAAGAGAATAAAATGTTTGCATTTTAAAGTTTTGACATTACTTCTCAATATTATTCTTGCTACTCTCCATTTTTCTATTGGCTTGTTTTTTATCCCTGGGACAACTAGGCCTTTCGTTATACCCAAGTTAAATTTGACATAGTTACCTCTTAACATCCAGAATGGCTGGGGGAGGTTAAGGGTTTTTTAAAATTTTTGCTTTCTACATCACTAATCACTGCAGATCATATGTATTACAGATTTCACTCTGGCCCCACAAGAGTTTTTACTAGCTGTCAAAGTGATTACAATAGTTTATTGTATAAAAGCTTGAGTATGTGCAATGACTTCTTAAAAAACTTGTAAATATGGTGTATTTTTACATCTTCATTCAGTTTGCCCATGTATTCAACAAAACAGGGCTCAGAAGAAGCTTTTTTACACAATACAGCTTGATGGATCTGTGCGAGGTAACCTCAGGTTGTTGATCTGTGGCTGAGTTCCACTGACAGAACATGGGAAGATCGACGGCATTAGCCCAGGTTAAGGATGACCCGCAGAGCACATGTGCAATGCGGTGCAGAGGCAGGGATGCTGAGGCTGAGCTGAGAGGTGGGGAGTGATGCCCTGAGCACCTCCTCACTCTCCCAGCTGCCATCACCACCTAGGTTATGTGAGCCTCTGTCTTGAGCTAAGATCCTCATGTAACCAGAACTTTTCAGATTAGTTTCAGCACTTGCTAGAGTTCGAGGTACACTAAATATGACCGTGGACCACAGAGCATATAAAGGAAAGAAAACTCTAGCAATTGCTTTTGAAAGCTGGCCTCTTTCATGACAAACCATCTTCCAATTACACTGTGTAATAATACTGGTTTTAGATGTATCTAAGACTCTGAAGAAATTCCTGACCACTCTGAGATTTACCATCGGCCCACCAAATATAGGATAAACTTAGTGTACAATGATTGCAGAGCATACTTTTCTCTAAAACAGAATATTAAACAGAGCCATCTGCTTTGCACTACCAAAGTCCCTTTGTCCACCATGATCAGGTCCTTATATACACTACACTGCTTATTCCAAGGTCACCTAATCTGGGATCTGCTTCCTTTCCTGACCCTAGAATCACAGCTACATGTCCTAAGTTGCGAGGTGCACTGACAGACTGACTTATCTTTATGTGAGGTCATTGGGAATGAGGGTGTCTTTTTGTTATTTGCTGTATGAGGCCATCTTTTGGGCCACTTGGGTAATATATTTTCTACAGAACTCATTAAGTGGGGCTAAAGGCAGCCAATGTTCTTGCACCAGATGTCAATTAACCATGGTCAGGCACTGAATTCCTCTTGCTTCACATTCTGAGCAGGATCCTGACCTTGGAGATTTACTGTAGTTGCATGTTCTTCAGGATCTTCAGCTCATGCGTATGCAACATCTCTTGATTTTATTACCTAAATGTTTTCTGAGAATGGAACCACATGTGTGTTACCCCTCAACTGGGACACTCTCTGGAAAGTCTCCAGATTCCTTTATTCCTACAACTTCAGGAGTTAGGAAGTCTAAAGCTCTCCCTACATTCACTGTCATCTTCCCCTTCATGAGGTTGGTGGGGCCCATCAGCATCTGCTGCTGATATTCTCACCTACTGAAAGCCTTCAATGAATGTGGAACAAACACAGTCAGCTCCTTTCAGTGAGGACCCATATAACCTTCCCTTGCACCTCCTTTGCATGCTTGGCACAACGCTTTAACCAAAAGTCATAGCAGTTGAGCTTCACTAACTTAAAATACAAGCTCTTTATCTGTATAGAGATTTTCTTGGGTAGAGTAAAAAGAAAGGCAGAGCAGGGCTCTTCACTTACTGTCTTTTTAGGAGAGCAAAAGTGGTTTATCAACCACTTCAGTGTCACAAACTCAGGATTGTAGCAACACCTTCCCTCCACACTTTTACTACAAACTTAAAATATTCTTTAATCCTTTCCATCCAATTCAATCTGAAATTTGAGAATAAAATAACAACCACTGCATGTCTAAGTATATGGCTAGTATTTAACTCATCTTCATAAAGGGAGAAAGTAATTAAGTTTAGAAAGCATTTATCAAAGAGCAGAGTATTTCATGATAAATTTGTCAATGATGAACTTATACATCTTTTAAACTTGCCTCTTCATCTCTCCTGCTGTCTAGAAAATAGCAAGGAGTTACTGATGTCATCAGTTTCATTTTCAGACTTTGGCAGTGTGTACTGCTTTCACTCCAACTTGACCTCACCAGCTCACGTATTCTTTTTTTTTTCTGAGACAAGGTCTCGCTCTGCATTTCAGGTTGGCCTTGAACTCCAAGCAATCCTCCTGCCTCAGCCTCCTGAGTGCTAGGATTACAGGTGTCATCATGCCCAGCTAACAGCTGGTATTATTCTGAGAGGTCAGAAATCATTATCCTGAGACAGGTCATTCAGCTGTTAGAAAAAAGATAAAAGAAGAAAATTAACGCAAGCATCAATGTATTCCCACAGCACTGGCTACTTCCTTCACTGAACTGACCATCACTCTCATGAGTCACTGGTTACCCAGACTCAGAGCTCTGTGCTGGAGTAATGTTTTATTTGTCTCTGTATGCCGAGTTTCCAGCTAATGACCGAACACAGAGGAGGCTCTCAGAAGAGTTCATTCAGTGAACACAATGAAGTACTTAATCTCTGATTATCATAATTGTATTTCTACCCAAATGTCCTGTCAGAGATTGCTCATTCTCCCAGAAAGAAATAAATGGCCTCCACAAACCATCCAAACCTCACGACATTCCTTCCACCTGAGAGCACTGAAGAAAAACTGACTGTGCTCAGGGATTCCTGTGCTGGGTCACCGCGTCATGAGGAACACCGTCCATGACCCGTCCACCCACATTCTGTGCAGCCACAGGTCCTCGGTTCAGGGTAATGACCACATTTTGTTGAAACTGTTTGATGTTCCTTTCATGGCTTTTGTCTCTCTACTGAAATCTTACTGATGTGTAAACTCCCAGGTTTTTTTAATAAAGCATAAGAAAATTCAGCTATTAGCAAATGTGAAAAATGCTAGCTGCATGCAAACTTTCAACTGAAAGTAGAGAAGGAGGGCACAAATGGCTAGTTATGAAGCACAAGTCCCACTACCTTTGAACTCCCTAATTTAGAACAGAACTGTCTGAACATACAAATAGTTGTTTTCAAATCCTCTAAGTCTCATTTATTCCCTCTGAGCTCATATTCACTTCATGGACATTTACTATGAGGGCAGCTTCCAATTCTAAGTCCGGGTATCTAGGGCAGAGCCTCATGGTCATATTATCCCTTGCCTGGAGCTGGAGCTTGCAGGCAATATGAACCTGTTTAAGTCCACCCGGTGGAGCTCGTTGAGCAGGTGGACACTCCACTGTGGAATGCATTTCTCTCCCAGTCAGTGCTGCTCAGATCAGGCTGTTTCTGCAGGGGTGAGGCATTCCAAGCTTCCCAGGAAGTTTCTGAATCCAACATTCTTACTCTAACTGCTTTAGTTTCCACCTGCCCAACATGACCTTGTTGATTCTGGGTTACCTTCATCTTCCAAATCTGCTGACATTCATTCTTCCATCTGCTCCTTAGGTTCTGGTTTCTCAGGAACTAGACTCCGCTCAGGCTCCTGTAAGGGACACATAGAGTACAGACCAAATCAGTTTTTAGGTGGAGTCCCCACAAAACATAAAAACACACCTCACTCCCCTGAGGGATTCAGCAAATGTAAGCAGGGAAGACCCTCAGGGATATATGGTCTGACCCTTACCTTAGCAAGGAGGTAACCTGAGACACAGAAAGACTAAGAGAATTTCCCAGGCCCTAAAAGAGATGAAAAGTGTTGCACTCACTTAATGTCTCTTTAATCCAATTAAATTTGTGAAAAAATAAAAATGGTAAATTCTTAATCTATCAAACACTACTTGCAAATTCATTATCTATCTCTCCAATCACAGAGTTTTCTACTACTTTCTTTCTCTGATCTCACCACACAGGTTTATAAGTACCAGTTACAAGCAAAGAGAAGTCAAATCAAGGACAGCAAGAAATAGCCACTAGTATTAACGTCTCCCAAACAATATCCTTAGAATAAAGTCTCTCCTTCTCCTCTGAAAAATAAACAGAATGATCCATTATATAAAGTCCTAATCTAATAAAAATTTAAACTTGATGAGCGTTTTGCAAATGTTTGCTTTACTCAAACCCACTCATGATGAGCAGGGTTGAAGGTAATGCTTGCAAAGAGATTTACAGGAATGTGGGAAGGTGACAATAATATTCTAAAAGGGAAAGCAGTGGGTGGTTACACAATTCTACCAATCAAGTAATATCACTGAATTACACATTTACAATTGGTGACCCCACTATGTATAATTTTTAAAGGAAATTTCAGGTTTATACACCAACATGTAATGAGATAGAAAGCTACTACTTCTCCTCACAATACAAAAACCATTTTTTATTAATTAACCAAAGAATTGAGCAGTGAGAAAACAGTCACTCCAAAAACAAAGACAGACTAAAAGAGAGGGTTACAACAGACCAGGAACAGAAGCTACTAGGATCAAACAACTGATAGGAACACTTCAGTGGCAACTGGTAAATTACTGGCAGCTGAGGAGGGTTTACCTGAGAATTTAAAACTCCCCAGGGATGAGACTTGCAGGATAATAACACTTTTGTATCTTTTACCTCTAGGAACCCAACCAGGTTCTCATGGCAAAGATCTGAAAATTCCTCAGAGAACTGACACTACCAACTTCAGGACTTACTGTGAAGCTACAGTATGGAATACAAGATAGAATTGTGGAGAAAGAAAAAGATCAATGGGGAAGAATACAGACCCTAGAAAGAGGCCTACATAAATAAGTGAAATGATCTTCACCAAATGTGCAATTTCACAGAGAAAATGGGACAACTAGACATCCACATGCAAAGTAAAAATAAATCTAGACAGATTTATTCTAGATATAAATACATCAAAGATATTAAAAAAAAAAAGAGGTACAAAACTATAACACTCTTTGCTGGGCTTTGGATATGGCAGGAGTGTGTCCTCCAAAAGTTCATGTGGTAGATTGGTTCTCAATGCAGTGGTATGGAGGCAAGATTGGGAAAAGGAGCTAAAGGAAAATAAATCACAGGACTCCTCTTCCATGATTAATATGGTGTGCAAGAATGGCAGGACCAGCCCAGTTCCCTGGAGAACAAGTTGTAAAAAAAAAAAAAAAAAAAAGCAGCCCCCTTTCTCTCTCACCATATGTTTCTTCTCTTGCCATGTGAACTCTTGCCCATGCTCCCACTGTGAGAAATTAGCTTCCACATTGTGATACAACAGAGAGCCTCAATAGATGCAGTCACCAATCTAGCCTCCAGAATTGTAAGCCAAAATAAAACTCTTACCCTTGAGCTAGGCATTTAGTTGAGGTGGTAGAGTACTTGCCTAACATGCCTTAACTCAGCGCCCAGCACTGAAAATCAACAAAAGATAAACACAAAACCGCAACAAAAGGACTTTCCTTTATAAAGTACCCAGATCCAAATATTTTCTTTTAGGTCCTCTTTTTTTTATTTTAAAAATAAAAGAACAAAAACGTATTAACAAACACACATCCATTTACAAAATAACACAACAATACAAGCCCAAATATTTTCTTAAAACAACACTATATCAAGACACTCCTAAAAGGCCACATAAAAAATATCTAAGGGAGCTTCGGTCCCAGCGGCAGGAGGGTGGTGTGTCCTCGGAGGCGCTGCGGAGACCTCCACCCCGGACAGTTCTCCCTCCCCGGGCCTCTCCCCTCCTGCCCCCGAGAATCCTCGCCCCCTAGGCCTGTCGAATCCGGTATCGTGGGGCGAGGTGAGAGCAGGCCTGGGGAGGGTGGCCACGCCGAGGAGCCGCAGTCTCTGCCGAGATGATAGAAGTACTGACAACAACTGACTCTCAGAAACTGCTACACCAGCTAAATACCCTGTTGGAACAGGAGGCCAGATGTCAGCCAAAGGTCTGCGGCTTGAGACTAATTGAATCTGCACATGATAATGG